GCGAGCCGCGTCGCCCGTCTCCTCCCCCTCTTCGCTAATCCTTCATTATCCTTCTCGTCGCTCCTCCTCACTCCTCCCGCCCCCTCGCCCTCCTCACTTTTTGTTCGCCCTGCCTTGCCAAAAGGCGTCCCGCCGAAGCTCGAGGAGGGCAAGCAGGTGCAGAACTTGTCTATCGATGCCATGGCCGCGAAATTCAAGGCTGCGATCGACGGCGCCGCGGAGCCGACCGACGACGACGGCGGCAGCGAACACGACGCGACGGAGGGCCCCAAGAAGGTTATGAAGGCCAAGAAGGTCATGAAGGCCAAGGCCATGAAGCGCCCTTCGGCCGCTCCCGTTTGCAAGAGGCCCGCCGCCGCCGTTCTGGACGGTCGCGCGAGCCTCGTTTTTCCTGGTGTGCCGAAGAAGAAATGCGAGCCAATGGTTTTCCGCGGCCATAGGGTACATCTCCCTTGCGGGCACCCGCTGCACGACGACGTGGGCGACGACGCTGGCGGCGGCGGCGCCGACGACGACGAGGTGCAACGTGGCTTGGGCGCCCCAGCTTGTTTGGGGCAGCGGTTGCGCACAGACCTTGCAAAGGCCTCGTGGAGGGTGCTCCCTCCAGGGGAGCGCGTTGACAAGCCTTTCAGCTGGCGCGTCGACCCCAAGGAGTCCTGGAATAGGTTGGTGGCGTTCGTGCGCGCGTGATTCCACGAGCGCACGTCGGGAAGGTTCGGGGAAGTGCGCGCTCGGCGCACTCTCACACTCGTTCTCTCTCCGAGTGAGAGAGAACCCTGCCCCTATAGTATTGTGACCCTCGCCCGGGGGCGCGGCGTAGGCCCAGACATTGCAACATTGAGCGTTTGATATTTGCTCGCGGTGGCACGCCCCGCAGCGGATAGCAAAACAACTCATCATCATAAACATCATCATCACCATCCTGCGGTGTCTCGCCCCGTGCTTATCATCCTGATCATCCTCCTGCGGTGCCCCCCCCCCCGAAACCCTCGTCGCGCCGAGGGCCGCGGCCGCCGCGGGCCGCCGCTGGCTTCCGAAGGGCCGCTGAGGGCCGATGGCCGCCGATCGGAATCGAGTGGCAGTCGGCCCAGCCCGCCGTCGTGCCTGGGCTGTGAGTCAGCGGCCTCTTGGAGGTTCGTCGGGGTCTCGTGGGATCCTGCTCGATGGCCTCTTGGAGACAATTATTGACGCTTCGCGTATCCCCACCAGCCCACCCAGAAACGAATCTGGTCTGGGGGGGGGGGCGGGGAGGACCCTGACTCAAGAGTCTCGGGTGAGGCGCCGCTTCCCTTCTCCTTGTGTAATAAGGGGAGGGGCGCAACACACTGTGATCTTACATGCGAATATACACTGCCCTCAGGCCCTTGCCCGTTCTCTCTTACATGTGGTATGTCTTATTGCGTGATAGTGGTCAAGGCAACAATGGGCGCTCTTGGGGTGGCCCGCGAGACCTTTCCAGAGATTATCACGGCCCCAAGACGGACCAATATGGACTCAAGGCACGCCTAGGAGGACCAACGAAGCCCCCAAAACTGTCCAAGAGCGCTCCAAGACGCTTGAGATGGCCCCAAGACGGCCCGACATGGTTCCACGATGTCCCACGAGCGCTCCAAGCGGGCCCCCACAACGCGCCAAAATCCAACCAGCCCCTTTATGGCGTAAGTGGTCTAGATCGTTTCTTCTTCCCACCCGCATTCTTCCCCATTCGGGGAGGGGTGTGTCCCTCCCCCTTACCCCCGTCGCCTGGACCTGGGCGGGGGGGGGGGAGCGGGGGTCGCTGGTATTTGGGGCGTCCAAGGTGGCCCAAGACGGCTCGAAGAGCGCCTCAGGGAGCCAAATATGACTTCCAATATGGCTCGAGATATCCCAAGACGCTTCAAGGTGGCTCCGAATATGTTCCAAGAAGCCCCAAGTCCGCCCAAAGACGGCTCCAAGAGGTCAAGTGGCTCCCCAAGGAGGTCTCAACGAGGCCCAACTCCTCCAACAACCAAAAGACAATTAATGATGTTTGCAGTTTTGGCTTGTTCGTTTCCGACGACCATCCAAGGCCTCAAGATGGCTCCAATATGGCCCAAGAAGGCACCAATGTTGGCCCAAAAGGGCCACAACATTGCTGAAAGCAAGCACACGAGCACACCACGAGCGCCCCTAAGAGGGGACCATGAGGCGATGTTGGGTGTTCCCCAGGGGGGGGGGAAGGGGGGGCGCGATGTAAGGAACACATGGTTTTTCTTTGGTCGATATCTTCCGCTATGGCCCCAACAGGCGCCCATGCCCCAAGAGCCCCCCAAATGACCCCAATATGGCCCCCAAGAGGCGCCCCAAGAGCCCCCCCACCTCCCCCCACACGAGGCCCCAGGAGCGCCCCAGCCGAGACGCCCGAGAGCCTCTCTGGACCGCCAAGAGACCCCCAACACCCCCCAAGAGGCATCCAAAAGGCTTCCAGGAGACATCCGAGAGGTGTCCCAGATGCTTCTGGCTATTATGCTGGCCCTCGTCCTCAGCATCCTCCTCTGCCCCATCCTCATCCTCATCATATTCCTCCTCATCCTTCTCCCCCTTCTCCTCCTCTTCCTCCTCCTCCTCCTCCTCCTCCTCCTCCTCCCCCTCCTCCTCCTATTCATCGTCCTTCTCCCCACTCCCTCATCCATCCATCCATCCAGCCTCCCCTTTCCCCTCATCCACCCTTCGCTCGGTTCGGTTGTCCCCATCTTTGCTCCCGCCATTCCCTGGTCACCTCAACTCGCCTGGGCTTTGTTTTGCAGGTCGTCGGGCCCGATGGCCAGTGACAGGCCAGCCTTTTGTGGCGCGCATGGCCACACCCCAAAAACAAACCTGCGGAGGCTGTTTTCCAAAAGCGTGAACAAACAACAAACCTGGAAGCCACAGCGCCCCGCCCCCCCCATCCCCCCGCCCCCATCTCTACCCCGCCCCGCCCCACCCCGCGCCCACCACCCCCGTGTCAGGGGCGGTTCGGCCGCATTTTTCTTGTCCTGGCACGCTGAACCTCGCAACTATTGGCTTTTGCTCGCTTTAATGGGGAAGGGGTGCACGGGGGATGGGGGAGTCGGGCGCGACCCTTGCGGCTCAGAGGCCGAGGCCCCCCCCCCACTTCGATCGCGGCTGTCGAGTTTCTTGGGGCCCCCCCTCCAGCCCCGATAAGAAGACTGACCGCTCGGCGTGCATGGTGGCCTGCTCTCGGCCCCCAGGCGGGCTCCCCTTATAAGGTTCGCAGGAAACCCAGTCAGGGCCTTGCATGCAAAACAATGTGTTCCCCGTCTTCCCTCTCCCCCCCCTGCCGATCACTCCTCGTCGTTCCTCGGGTGCCGCGGGGACTTCGACGCTTAAGCCGCGGTGCGCACGGATCGCGGGGGGGGGGGGGGGAATGGGGGCCCCCTAAATCGGTTTTCTTCTTAAGGGCTCTTTTGTCAGGCCAGGATTCTTGCGGGGGGGTTGGCGCCATGGCGATTGCTTTGGGATGGGCTGGTGCGGGTGCCCGAAGCTAGAAAAGTTATGAGCAGTTATGACAGTTAGAAGAACTTATAAAAAAGTTATAAAAAGTTATGAAAAGTTATGAAAATTACAAAAACATATAAAGCTCGCCTAAGTGAGTTGTGAAAAAAATGCAAAGCTAATTCTGGCAAGTTTTTATAACTCCTCAGAACCGAACTTATAATCTCACAAGACCCAAACTCACGAAGTGGGGACCACCAAACAGCGTCCGTGCCTTGCGGGGGGGACAGTTTCAGTTGTTCCTCATTTTCCGGACTCCTCCCGTTCCGCTTGCCCCTGCGTCAGTCGGGGGTGGACAGAACCCCCAAAGGGTGACACGTCGATTAGTGAATTGTCCGTTTTCGGTTCTCGAGAGGGCGCCGTGGCCGTTATTTTCAGCCTTGCGCCCGCCAGGTTTGGGCCTCAGGTCGTTTTCACTAAACCACGTTTTACTAAAGAGGGGTCTGTCCATCCCCGAGTCAGCCCCGCCACTACGCGCGCGCCGCGCCCTCCCTGTGCCATGGCGCCCGCGACGCGAGGACGTCTCGGGCGGCAATGCCGTGACGCTTGGCTGTTTGGTTGGGTTTGTTGTCTGGGTGTTTGGTTCACCACCCGCCAAATCACCCCAACCCAACCCGAAGGCTCAGATTTACCTTCGATTTCTAGTGTGGGGGGGTCCGGGAACATCGAAAAAACACACATGGAGCCCATACCCCCCAATCCGAAATTCGGGTCTTCGGGTTGGGTTGGGGTGGTCTGGTAGGTAGTCATTGGTTGCGTGGCGGGTTTGTTGGTTAAACGCGTTTCGCTCGTCCTCCCTAGTTGGTTCCGCGTGCCGCTTTCTTCAGCCCTTGCCGCTGCCGTCGTAGTCGCGCCTGGGCGTCGGGCGGCGCTCCATTTGTCCCTCCTCGCCCTCTCGATCCAGGCTCCGGCGGCCGAAGGGGGCGAGAAGGCCGTGCATGGCGCCCCTGCGTTGCGGGGGGGGGATCTTTTTTCAGTTGTTCCTTATTTTCCGGATTCTTCTCGCCCCCGCCCTCCCTTTCATCAGCCCCGCCACCATGTCACTATGTGCGCCTTCCTCCTGTCATTGCGCCTGCGATGCGAAGAAGTCTCACGCTGCAACGACGTGAAGTTTGGCTGCCTGGTCGGGTTTGTTGTGTGGGTGCTTGGCTGCGTGGCGGATTTGTCGGTTGATCGGGCAGTGGATTAACCCTACAGCCTTGTGGCCCAACAAGGGGGCCAGCGGATTCGTGTGTTCCTGAGCCCCTTCATTGATCTTCCGAGCTTCTTAATAAGCGTCGGGCGGGCGTCACGGCGTCACCCCCGCCGACAGCCCCACGTCGACCCCCGCCGCGGGCAGCCACCGTGCGCCGAAGGCGCTCCGACCTCCGTCGCGGCGCGGCGACGAGGCAAGGCTGACCCCCGTCGGGGGGGGCCCCCCCACGCTTACTAAGAAACCCAGGGTATCCCCACCCAGGTTTATCCTTGTCTTGGCCTCGTCTTGCCAGGCCGACCGCCCCGCTGGCACGCCGCCGATGTGCCGCGCGGGGCTGGCGGGCCAGCCTGCAGGCCCGGCGGCTGCGGCGGCCGACGCCGCCACGCCCAGAGGGCAGCGGGCGGTCGCGGCGGCCACCGTGGCCGCAACCCAGGAGAGCATCCCCGGTCGATGCAGCGGAGGCCCATGCCAATGACACCTTGTTTTTTTGGTTTCGGCGGTTTCTTGGGTGCCAGCGGTTTTGCCACGGGGAGCGCGACGTTCCCACATCACATCAAGGGTCCATCGACGTCTTGGGGTCTCAGGGTTTGGTTTCTTGTGGGAGATTTCTTGTGGACTGGCCTTTCCAGTGTATACCCCAGACCCTCTCGAGTCACGAAAAAATCCCGACGGAAGGTTTTCGCTATTTTCGGCGTGTGGGGGCCCTGACTGGTCCTCGGGACCGTCCAAGACGATTCAGGCAAACGTCACCACTCCGGATCTCTGGGAACGGGCGATGCCGGGGGACCGGGGGGGGAGAGGGGGCCAGTGACGTCACGTTCCGGGCCAGCGCCGTCTGGGAATTCTCAGCAGGAGTACAGACGAAGACTGCACGTATAGCCAGACGACGCAGGCACGGATCCTGATATTACCGGGGGGTGCGGGGGGGGGGCCGGCAACGTCCGCTATCGCGAACATTGAAAAAACGCTCACCAGGAGGTTTGCTGGGGGCCGCGTGCATGCGTGCGGTCGGACGTTGTGCAGAGCCAGTGCGCAGCGGGGCTGCTCCAGGGCGCGAGCGATCTCGGCTGTGATCCGAGCGGAGCCAGCAAGGCTGGCTCCATCGGGAGCTGCTTGCAGTCGTTGCGTGGCGAGGATACCGAGCACGTCGTCGTCGTGCGGCGGGTTAACGCCCTGGGTTTCGAGACCCCGAGGGCTCTGGCGCTGCATTTCTCCGCCTTCGGGCGGGTCAGCCGGGTGCTGGCCACGCAGTCGAAGGTTCGAAGGAGAGAGAATGGCGTCAGCACAAATGTTCGGAGATTCGCGCGGATTTCATAGATTGGCGTTGGACCCAGGACCGGCGCTGCAGGCGCCGCTTGGGGGGTCCAGCGCCGATCCAAGAAGTCCTCACGGATGTCCAGATATTTTCGGTCTGGAATTTTGTTTTAGCGTGTCGTTTCGCCAGTTTTGGCCCACCGTACTTCAGCGCGACACACTGACCAGTTGCCAAGACCCCAGCGTCAACGTCCCGAGCTCTTCCCAGCCTTCGCCCCACAATGTTGAGCGACACGCCATCCGCTTGCAGGGCAGAGTGCGTCGCCGAGGCCCCTGCCGCGGCACGCCGACACGCTGGGCGAAAGTTTAGGAGCGTCTGCTTTTTTTGTGTTTCTTGTTGTCTCTCTCGGGGTGACCCAAAAGGAGGTCGAGCGACAAGGGGTCGGTGCAATAGATTTGGTGTGATAGATTTGTGGGGTTGCAGTACATTTGGGGCGTGCAATATTTCCGTGGCGCAAACGTATTGCTGGACTTTCGCGTGCAATGCATTACCGTAGCACCCCGCAGATTTGGATAAGATTGAGGGGGCGGTGGGGACGTCGGCAGTTTGCGAGACTCTGCAGAAGCCCGCCGCAGGCGCCAAAGTTTCACAAATTATGCAACGAGCCCGCCGCAGGCGCCGATTTCTTTCTTTAACCAATGTGGGTATGTCGCGGGTGGGTCGCAAACGGGTCGCGGGTGGGTCGCTGTTGGATCGTGGGTGGGTCGCGGGTGTAGAGGGAGGAAAAAACATCCCATAATAATCACCCCGACAAGCGAAGCCGTTTAGTAAACGCACACAAGGAATGTATCGAACAGGGCAAGGCTGTTTAGTAAACGCCCAAGGCCGTTTAGTATACGTCAATTGTCGGGTCCGGTTGGTTTCTCCTCCTTTGAGGGTGGGTCGCGGGGTGGGTCGCGGTTGGGTCGCGGGGTGGGTCGCGGGGTGGGTCATGGATGGGTCGCGGGAGGGACGACGACAACAAACAACAGCAGCAACAACAACAACGACAACGCAACAAGCAGAATTCCCATTACGCACTGCCTATACTCAGCCACGCACCCAGGGACAGGGAATGACCGCTCGACCACCTCACTCCGACTTGCCATACAGTGCACCACACTTCTCCGGCGGCGCAGCACACGTGCAGCACAATTGCCCCAGATCCACTGCACCACCCCCTTCCAGCCCCAGACATGCGACGTCCTGATTTTTTCAGGACGGCGTCCCTGGAAGTCCAGACCCTTTCCCCAGGACCGGTTTTTCGTCCTGGGTCGTTTTTTGACGGTCCCGAGGCCCGGGAAGGGCCCCCGGAGGCCGAAAATTGCGAAGAACCTCCCGTCGTGTTTTTTTCACGACGCGAGGAGGTCTGGGAGCCGAACCCTCGAAGGTGGCGACGCCCAGCGGCCGCTTCCGCACCCGGCCCGGGGGCGTCGCCTTCGTCGTCATGGCGGACGCCGACGGCGCCCAGCGCGTCCTGCGGGCGGGCCCGCGGCAGGCCGTCGCCTCCGCGAGCATCTCCGTGGAGCGCTTCGCGGAGGCGGCGCCGCGGCCTCCTCCTCCTCCTCCTCCTCCTCCTCCTCCTCCTCCTTCGCGGAGGCGGCGCCGCGGCCTCGGCAGCCCTCGCCGGCGCCCGCCCGCGCCCGCCCGGCCTGGGGGGGGCGCGGGCCGCCGCCGCCGGGGGGGGGGCGCGCGCCTCGGGGCGGCTCGCCGGGGGGCGCCTAGGAGCCCCCCCGGGGCCCCTTCTGGGAGCCAGGGGAGGTGGTTCGAGTCGGGAGGGGAAAGGCACACACAGGCACAAGGAGTCGTCGATTCCCAGGAGGCTAACTTGGAAAATAGGGGAAGTCGGAAGACAAAGACCCAGAGAAAATAACTATGGGAGCGTGTGGGGAATCTTTTTGCGTGTGTAGTTGTTTGTGTGTCCCAGGGCCCCTTTCGTGAGGAGGGGGGCGAGGACACGGACACGAGTCATCGCCGATTCCGAGGAGCACGTGGGAAGCTAGATGGGGAGAAGGGGGGGGAAGACGAGAAGTTGTGGGAAGATGTGGGGAGTCCTGGGACCTGTGTGCATCTTGTTGTGTGTCCTTGGGCCCCTTTGCGCAGCGGAGCCGTGGGCTCGGCTGCCTAGCAGGAGGCCTGAGGAGTGGGCCACTGGCAAAAGGCCGGTTGCTGGCGTCGAAGACCGCCACTGTGCCAGCGTGGCACCTTCTGCGGCGACGCCCTCTTCATGAGCATTTCCTGCGCCTGTTATCACGTCTCTCGGCCACGCGCAGAGGGGGGTAGGGATAGGGAGGAAAGCTTCTGTCTTAGAGACCATTTCTTTATTGCTTGGGGCATGACGGGCGTCATGGCCCCCGCCCCCCTCCCCCACCCCTATGACGTAACGCTCCTCCTCCAGTGCGCTCCGGGCACTGCCGCCGTGCGTATTGGGATCCGCGTAGGTGTCCGCGTAGGAATCCGCATGGGTGTTTGGTCCGCAGTCGTCGTCGACGTCGTCGTCGTCGTCGCTCGTGGCTCGTCGCTCGTCGCTCGTCGCTCATCGTCGTCGTGCGCGCGGACGTGGCTGGAGCCTGTTTTTCTATTCCGGGCCGATGACGGCAATCATTTGGGGGGGTGGAGGGGGTCGATGACGTCACGTTTCGCGCCGGCGGCGCCTGGGAATGCGTAGGAATGACGGAGGACGGGTTGCACCAGCATGTAGGTGGCGATCTGCACCACAACGCTTGTGTACACTTCAGTGCCTGCGTGCACCACAGCGTTTGTGTACACCACGCCGCCTATGTACACCACAGCAGCCGTGTGCAACACAGTGTCAGTTAGTGCCACCGCGCGCGGGCGCAACAGCTCTTGTGTACACCACAACGCTTGCGTACACCACATCAGCCGTGTACAACACAACAGTGTACACCACAATGCCTGCGTGCATTGCAGTGACTGTGTGCACCACGACGCTTGTGTGCACCACGGCAACCGTGTGCAACACAGCACCACTGTTGTATGTAGAATGTTTGAAGGAATCATTCGGACAAAATGGAACGCTTGTGGATTCCACCGAACACACTAGAAGACAATCCTTATGACAAAGGAACGCCAAGGGAATCTACGAGTCCTTCCGAGTTCGCCCGCACCACGGTAACTCCTCCCATCTGTGTCCACGAGGCTCCAGCTAAATTGGCCGTCCGAGAACCAAGTGGGCCGATTCAATAGAACATTCTGCGGTGCACGCTGAATTGCGCACGTGTGCTGCAGCGCCAACCCGCACGACACGGGGTAAGGAGGAGGAGGAGGATGAGGAGGAGGAGGAGGAGGAAGAGGAAAAGGAGGAGGAGGAGGAAGAGAAAATGGAAGAGGAGGAGGGGGAGGAGGAGGAGGAGGAGGAGGAGGAGGAGGTGGACGTGGAGGAGAAGGGAAGCAGGAAAAACGTCGCATCTGATTATCAGCACTTTCCTGGCGTGGCGCTTCCGCAGCAGATCCTCAGGTACAGGCTCCTTCTACCTGTCCTATGCGCGCCGGCAGTGTGGTGTACAATAGCGCTGCGTTGCACGCGGATGCTGTGGTGTAGACAGGCGCTGTGGCGTGCACAGGCGCCGCGGTGCACGCAAGCATTGTGGTGTACACAGGCGCTGCGTTGCACATGGTTGCTTCCGGTGTGCACATGTACACCGGCGCTGTAGTGCACGCAAGCATTGCAGTGTACACAGGCGCTGCGTTGTACACGGCTGTTGCGATATACGCAGGTGCAGTGGTGTACACGCGCGCTGTGGTGCACGCGAGCGCTATGGTGTCCACATGCGCAGGGGGGCAGATCGCCACCTACATGCTGCTCGCGTCGTCGTTGTCGTCGTCGTCGCTCGTCGCTTCGTGCGCGCGGGCGCGGCTGCGGTGCCTGAGCCACACGGCGGGGGGGGGGCGTTAATTCGTACCCCCCCCCCGCCCCCCCCCCATGACGCCCGTCATCGCCGAACAAAAGAAACGCTCTCTTAGGAGCACCCTTGCTTCTTAGAAGGCGCGGGCCTTATCTGTAGAGGCAGGCCCGCGCCTTCTAAGAAGCAGATTCTTCTAAGAAGCCTTCCCCCCTCCCCCCTAGACCCCCTGTGCGCGCCGCCAAGAGCCTTGGTGCCCGCCCTCCCTGCCTCTCTCTCTCTTTTAGTCTGCGCGGCCGCGCGGCGCGGGGAGCACATTTGGTTGCCCGGTATGCGCGAGCCTGCCCGTGCAGGTGAACCCGCCAGCCTCGCAGAGGCGCCGCTGGCATGAGTGTGCCCGGTGCCGCGTTGTTCATGAGCGACGGTGGAAAACGGGGTTGGGGGGCCACAAGCGAACCCTACACCTACCCCCCACGATTTCTGAGGGGGAGGGTGGGGTTCGCTTCGCTCGGGAGCTCCCGAACGAAGTGAACCCCACCCTCGCCCTGAGAAATCGTGGGGGGCAGGGGTAGGGTTCGCATGTGGCCCCCTAGGGGTGGTTAGCGCCGACATTTGCGCGTAAGCTGCCGCGTAAGGTCGCGCGTAGGCACCCTCGCTTCGAATGTGGTGTACCGTGCTGGCAGCCCGCGTAGGCCACCGCGTAGGGTCGCTGTGTCATCTTGCGTAAGACCCGTTTCTTTTCGTCGCTCAGATGTGAGTGCATCTTCCGCAGTGGTTGTTGCAGTGCAGAAGGGTGGCCGGTATGTCGTAGCACCCCGCCCCTCAGCATCCGGCAGCATATCGTTGACAACTAAAAGCCGAAGTTTTTTAACTTGCTTCGTGCCGTCACGGTGTGAGGCTCATCAGCTCGTACAGCAAACTGCATGTGTAGTTGATGGAGCTCATTGGATGCACCTGACCACCGTTCACCCCTGGTTGAGGCACGTGGTTTCACGTCCGCCAGTGGCGGTGGCAGCTGATTGGGTGCATGCCAGTCGCGCCATGAGCACCACCGATCAGTCAGAATGCTGTGGTGCGGGCTGCGTGTGTTTTCCATTTGCTCCCTTGATTGGAGGGGATGTTCCTCCTCATCATCCTCATCATCATCATCGTCATCGTCACCATCACCATAACCATCATCACAGTCATTTTCATCATCAATATCATCATCATGAACATCATCATCACCATCATCACCATCATCATTAAGATCCACACCATCTCCATCATCACCATCACCCCTATCACCATCATCAGCATCACTATCGTCATCATGATCAGCATCATCACCACCGTCACCATCAGCATAATCATCACAATCATCATCATCATCACCATCACCATTCTGATCATCACCATAACCATCATCATTATGATCATCATCATCATCAACATCAGCACCATGATCATCGGTATCGTCACCTTTATCATCATCGTCATCATCACCATCACCATCACCATCATCATCACCACCATCATCACCATCACCATCACCATCATCATCATCGTCATCATCATCATCATCATGATCATCATCATCATCATCCTCATCATCATCATCATCATCATCATCGTCATCGTCATTGTCATCACCATTATCATCCTCATCATCCTCCTCATCATCATCATCGTCATCATCTGAGAGTAGTGCCCCTCCCCTTCTGGGCATCCCACACCTCCCCTCCGCGAAGTAGATGACCTGTCCATCGCTAGGATCGGCTGCACTTTCACGAGTGCTGTGAGAGTCCAGGGTCCTGGGCGATCTTGGAGATACCTTGTATTTAAATCAGATGGCGCCGCTGGAGCTGCGAGATAATTATTCGAGCTGGATAGAATTGTATATCCGACAGGCAAGATCGCGACATCCAAGGTGTATCTGGGGATAGCGAGGCACTGAAGGCGACGTCATTTCCATGTTGTTTGGGATTGGGCCCGAGGTCTGATCCGTAGCAGGTCAGCATGTGGAGCCATCATCACCAGCGCACCTTGAGGAGTCTGATGAGCAACGTACATTGGCCCCAGGCTAGACATTGTGCGCCAGTATCCCACCCATCCTTTATCTGTGGCCGTGTGCAGCAGCGCCAGTCACCTTGTGGCACAGGCAGTAGAGCTTCTAAGCCCACGCCGCTCGGCTGCGAGATTTAACGTCGCAGTGGCTTCGGGAGAGGGCGGAGCGGGCGTTGGAGGGTGGGGAGGAGGTCGGGGAAATGTTTGCTCGAGGAGCTGTTCCGTTCCCGCCAGCTTTTGTGCTTAGGACGCCTCCTGAGGTAGAAATCCATTGTCACTTCTGGCGGGCCGCAGAGCCAAAATCGGATCCAACCAACAACAAGAGGGTGCGTGCGATGTGGATCCGCGGCGCCGCGCGTGAAGTTGCGCCGGCACCGCGGGCGCCGTGCCGATCGCAAGCCTGCATGACCCTTGGGGCCCATCTTGGGGGCCTTTGGGGGTCTCATCGGCACCTCGGGAATGCCTCGGGAGAGCCTCCTTTGTGGGTCTCATCGGCACCTCAGGCATGCCTCGGGAGAGCCTCCACAGGCTCCGCGAGAGCAGAGCAACCCGTCGCGATCAAGGGCCCGGTCCGTGCCAGGTCGTGGGGCCGTCTCGGACACCTCGTGGGGCCCCTTCGGGGCCCGGGTCCGCCTCGGGAGGGCCCCAGCAGGGCTCCAGGACGCCCGATCACGAGCCAGCTCCTCCTCCTCCTCCTCCTCCTCCTCCTCCTCCTCCTCCTCCTCCTCCTCCCTCTCCTCCTCCTCCTCCTCCTCCTCCTCCTCCTCCTCCTCCTCCTCCTCCTCCTCCTCCTCCTCCTCCTCCTCCACGTCCCGGCAATCCGTCGAACACAGGGCCTCCGTAGCCCACGGGCTCTCGGAGGGCGGTTCATGGCCTGGGGGTTCCCTCGGCTGTCCATCCTGTGCCCTCACGCTTGTATTGTTGATGCATGTGCGTGGCTTGCTCTGCGTCTTCCTACTGGCATCTTGCAGGAACCCCTGCCGCTCGGCGCTCCAGTCCCACGGCCTCCCTCTTTTTGTCGTCTGCCCGCGTCCTTTGTCCCTCTTTTCTCTGCTGTGCCTGCTTTCCCGGGGCTATTGGTATGTCACGGCCTCGCAGAGCCGGGGAACTCGTTTGCCTCCCGAAGTCGGCGGCATTTTTTCACCGAATCCTCCAGCTTCCGCGGCGACCTCCCATGGGGTCCCGACAAGGGTCGAAGAGGGGCCCGAGAAGAATGCAAGAGCGTCCCTCGGGGAGCAAAGAGTGGCATAAGCATAAAAACTCGGAGGTCCGCGCGGATTCCTCGGATCGGCGCTGGACCCCCCTCCCTGGCGCGCGGAGCGCGCCAGGGGCGGCGCTGGAGGCGCCGCCATGGGGGTCCAGCGCGGATCCGAGTAATCCGCGCGGACCTCCGAGTTGTTATGTGTATGCCATTTTTTCTTCCCCGAATGGAGTCCCGACAGGGGTCGAGGAGGGGCCCAAGAGGGTTGCAAGAGCGTCCCCCCTTGGGGGCGATGGCGAAGTTCTCGGTGGAATGTTTTGCGCGCGTGCGAGTGCAGGTGGCGCGCGGCGCGCCGCGGGTTCTACGAGGGCACGTGGGAACGAGGCCTCCAGGGGGGAATCTGGGGGAGGCACTCTGGGAGCTCCGCGAGGGCCCAGGGTGCACTCCAGGAGGCCCCGAGCGTCGTTCCACCCAGCGCTTGCGAGGACGGCATGCAGACCGACACTGGAGCATGTGCGACGACCTCCTGCCAGCTCGTCATCTTCCTCCACCTCCTCCTCTTCCTCCTCCCTCCTCCTCCCTCCTCCTCCCTCCTCTTCCCTCCTCCTCCCTCCTCCACCCCTTCCTCCTCCTCCTCGGGCTCCCAGGTTCGATCACAGTTTGTCTTTTTTGTTGGGGGCTTCCACTATTTCCCCAAGTCCCAGCTCCTCCTCCTCCTCCGCCTCCCCCTCCTCCTCCTCCTCCTCCTCCTCCTCCTCCTCCTCCTCCTCCTCCTCCTCCTCCTCGCGCGCACTGGAGACGCATGGGGCCTTCCTGGTGCCCCATCCACCAGCCTGGGTAGTCGAAGGCCAGACTGTCAGACTGGACTGGGCCCCAGGGGCCAATCTGGCCCGGCCACATTGGAGGGTTTGGGTTATTCGCCAGACTGGATTCGCGTTGGCTCCCTCGCCAGATTGCCCCCGTTTGCCAGATTGGGCCTGCCAGATTGGCGCCAGATTGGCTTCGACTACCCAGCTAGCGGTGCTTTTACGGGTGGATGTGGTAACGTATATTCGGCTGGGGAATGGTTTGTGGTCGGCGCTTCCCCGCCCACCCCTGTTGGGCCAGACCCCCGCCGATAGGCGCGCCAAAGCCTTCTCCGAGACTTTGGCCAGCCCATGCCGCCGAGATGCGGCCAAAGTCTGAAAACCACAAAAACACAAAGCACCTCCCGAACGGGAGCTCCAACACGAAGTCGGCGCAGTTTTTGGTTTGAGTTTTGGTCGATGAAATTATTATTCTAGCATCTCTAAGCCTGCCGTGGCGGACGCGGCAGAGGCGTCGAAATCAGAATTCCGAGGAGCTCGCAGGCGCGCAGCTGCCGTTCCTTGCGCATGAGCAGGTCGAACAGCCACGAGTCCCGCGCCATGGTGTCAGCGTCTACCCGGGATCGCCTGGGGACCGTTTTTTCGGGGAGGTCGGTCCCTCCTCGCCGCCGTCGTCGCCCCTTGAGGCGACATGGTCCGGGCCTTTTCCAGCGCCGTCTCCACCGGCACCGAATCGGATTCCGAGACGTCTCTACCCCCCGGCCCGCATCAGAAAGCAACGAGGATGCTCACCTGGGCGACGTGCCCGAACGTGGGCTCGTCGCCAGTGCCTGTGAGAGCGATTCGGCCCAGCAGGAAGGTGCGCCCCCATTCCTCCTCCGCTTCGCCGAACGGCTCGAAGTCCGATCGAAGCCGTCGCGAACACTTGCGGCAGCGAGGCCGACACCGACGGGCTCTGCGGGGCGAGGGTGAAGAGCCCGCGCGTGCCCTCGCCAACGCCCCGCGCGAATCGGAGCAGCGAGTCCCTGAACTTGTCCCTGCGCGGGGCAGCAGGCGCGTCGTGCCTCCCCCTCTCTCGGAGGGCACCAACTATACACCAACACCGATCCTGGCTCAGCATCACCCTGGGCCCAGGATCGGTGTATATGCCTTCTTGCGCAAGGCAGGGGGGCGTATACACCGATCCTGGGCCCAGGGTGATCCTGGGCCCAGGGTGATCCTGGCCAGGATCGGTGTTGGTGTATAGTTGGTGCCTTCCTACTCTCGCCCCATCCCCGCCGCTTGCTCCTTTTCCCTTTCCCCCTTCCTCCCCCCGCCGCGTCGCCTCCCCCACTGCGCCCCGGCGCTCGCCCCCCCTCGCCCCCTGCCCCCTCGATCCCGCCTCGCCGCCCCTCCCCCGCGGCCCCGTGCCCCCCGCCCCCCGCGGCCGCGCCTCAGTCCCGGCCGGTGGCCGCTTTGCTTGGAAGGGGGTGCCCCAGAGCTTGTTTTTTTTTTTGGGGGGGGGGGATTCAGGCGAGTTTACATGCGCGGCGTTCCCCCCCCCCCCCCCTCGCTCCTCTTCAAGCGAATGCTAGCGTGCAAGTGCCTTTCGACTTGCGCGATTTCCGCGCCCCCCCCCCCCCCGGGCTTGCTTCAGGCTCAGCCCCCCCCCCCGTCCATGCAAGTAAACTTGCCAGAGTCTTAAAAAAACAAGCTCCTAAAACGACGCGAAGATCGGGGCAAAATCGGATCGGGATTACTCGGGATCTCTGAGAATCGGCGGGTTTGGGGGATGTATTGGGAGCCGCGGCCGCTTTCAGAGCGTTCCGGAACGCTCTGAGAGCGCTCTGGAACGCTCTGGGGCGATTTATCCCGATCCTAGCCTTGTTTTGCTGGGAAGGGGGTGCCCCGCTGCGTCGGCGTCGCTCCGCTTCGGGCGACGGCCGCGCCAGCGCGACGTTCGTGCCAGATTGGCGGGAAGCTGGCGCCGTGCAGGGGCGCCACTATAGCGGGCCCTCGTCGCGGCGGGGCTGGCGGGCCCCGTCGGGCCATCGCTCTAGCTCCCGGTAAACCTGGGCGCGGTGGGCGCCGGGGGCCTTGAGACGGGGGTCAATGCAAATGAGGGTCAGCCACGGCACCAGATCCTGGCTGACCCGGGTTAGCGAGCCGTTCGTGGCCGCGAGGCGGCCGCGCATCTTCAGCCGGGTTTGCGAAAACCTGCGTTGCAGTTTTTTTTTTGGCATTGCAGTTTTTGTATCCTGCTGACCTGGGCCTGGATTGACCCGGGTCAGAAGATCCCCGAGGGCGGGCGCCTATGCACGAGACTTTCTCTGCAGGCGGGCGTTGCCAGCGATGCTCGGCGAGGGTCTCCGGCGCTTAGCCGACCGTGCTTGTTCGGCGCGGTGCTGGACGGGCGAAGCTGCATGCGTCGGTCGGCCGGCGGAGAAATTCAAAGGCATCCGCGTCGGATGCTCAGACGCGGCCAAGCGATCGGAAGAGATGGGCTCGCGCGCCTCTGAGGCCCCGCCATGTGCGATCACTGGGCCAGCGGGCTTGCGAGCGGCTTGTTTGCGGGCTGTGTCTCCAGACGGCCCCGCGATGCTCAGTTGCCTAGCTGGCGTAGCTGGGCTCCAGTTCAGGTGGGCCGCTTCGGAGCCGCCGTGGCGGCGGCTGGCGGGCCTGTCCTGCTGCGCGCGCGGCCGCGTCAGACCTCCAGGGATGGCGAGGATTTCGATGTCGTGATGCTCGCGCGCGTAGGCATGCCACTTTTTCGAATTGTCTTCGGCTCGCGCTTATGGGGTGGCTCAAACCGCGGCACCCCCGCCCATCCGCACGCCGCGCCCCGCGTGCCATGCTCCGCTTGCCATGCCCCCCAATTTCCTTGTTCTTTAGGAGCCTCCATTATTGTTTCCTCGCGTTTCTTATCTACCACAAGTTGGGAATCAATTGCGACGTTTCCGAGGGCGTCGGAGCCGAATTGCGCGGCCCGCGCCCGCAGCCGAGGACGCGTTGCAGCTTTTTGCCGGGGGGGGGGGGGGGGGGGGGGGGCAAAGCGGCGCCGCGCCCGCCGCCCCCTGCGCGAGATGGGCGGGCTCGCCGACGCGTCCGACAGCGGGCTCGCATTTCAACGTCGACGCCGCTTGCAAGACAGCTTGGCGGCGGCATCCGGCATCGACGACGGAGCGTCTACGCCGTCAGGGCCACTTAGATCGCATGCTGTTGAGCGCATGTCTTCGGGAACAAATCAAGGGGGAATTGCGCCCGATCCGGCTGGGCATTGCCGCTGAGCGCGGTCAGCTCGCAGCCCGCAGGGGCGCCTTCGAACAGCGCCCCGGCCCCATTTCGCAACGTCCGCGGCCGCCAGCTTAACGTCGCACGTGGAAGCTGAGACTCAGGGGCCGGAAGAAATATTTCGACGAGTTGGCGGCAGGCGCAGAGAAGCGAAGCCATGTGTTTCCCAGTGGCGTGGGCGAGCTCCCAGACTACAGCTCGGCCGCGCAATTCCTCGGCGACCAAGTGCGCAGCCGCGACGTACCGGGGCCGTTTGATTGTTATGTGCAGGGCGGTCTCAAGTTCGCCACCGCGGACGCTCGGGGCAAACTGGCAAACGTTTGCGTGGGTTTCCCGACAAAAATGTATCACGTGCATCATATGAGCGCGCGCCGGTCCGCCAGTTGAGAAGCGCGCGGGGGGGGGGGGGGGGGGGGGTTCTGTTCGGGCCCCGCGAGAGTTTCGTGGATTGGTGCGTTCGAAGGGAGAAGTGCGCGGCGACGCGAACGAGCGCGAGCTCAACGGCGCTGAGGACCTGGTTCTGGGCGAGGAAGACGCAAGCAGCGCCGCTGGAATCGCTCGGGAAAGGCAGCGGGCACACTGGGGCGAACTCACTGACGATGCGATGGTGCAAGACCTCACTGCAGGGGCCAACGACGCCGCGATCCGAGCTGCGAATTGAAGTGGGAAGGGCGAGAAGGAATGGAAAGGACATGGCAACGGCGCCGAGTAGGGGCTCGGACGGCGGATTGTCAGAACGATTGCAGTCTGACTAGGCAGATGGGCAGCGTTCCTGCGCTCGCCCATGTCGCGCGGCAGGTTCGGCGCGCGGCGATGGCGCTGCCTCGGGCTGGCTGCGGAATCATTCAGAGATTGCCAATCGCAGGCGAGATGCGGTCATTGCAGTGTTGTGGCTTCAAGAGACCTACTGCCGAGGCTTAGCATTTTCCGAGTTCGAGGGCTTCTAGTCAATTCTTCTGGGCGGGAATCATGAGCTAGAGAGCGGGCCGGCGTCGGTTCCTGCGCGTCGCCCCGGGCGAAGCGCGCCGTCCAAGTCTGCGCCCAGACAGAGAGAGATCGCACGGCGAGCTTTCGAGCGCGCGTCTCTGGGGGGCGTCTAGGGTTAGTAGCCGCGGGCGCCGGCGCTAGCGCGAGGGCGCGCGATTGTCGTGCACGTCGTGATTCTTTTTCTGATATGGCTGCATTCGCAACGAGATGCCGCTCGCATGGGCCAACCATAGTAATCAGCGACCTCCGGCGCTTGGCTGCTGGCCGACCCCGTTGGGAAGAAGACGTCTTCGGGGAATTGCAGGCTGGAGCTTTCTTTCTTGGTGGTCGTCTGCGCCAAACAGAGAGCAAATTGCTGAATTGCGCCATGCGCTGGGACCTTGCGTCGAGAGCCTGTTCTTCCAGCGCAGCGACGAGAGCGCGGCTGCGCGTCGCAATCTTGGCGCGGCCCATCGAGCGACATTGTGCATTTTTTGTTTATATATATATATATGTTTCTCTTCCGTTCCTTGTTTTTCTTTGAGCACAAGGATTATGACATGCATGATCAATGAAAAACTGTTGCCTTTTATCTTCGATGCCACAACGTCGATGGTAAACCAGGGCTTGGCACTTCAGGCGCAAAGAAGAAAACAATATAACACATGCCAGCAAACGCAGAATGTCTCAATTATACGCGACGGCGCCGCGGACCCGCAACGCGAAACACACGCGCGCATCGCACTTTTCGGCGGGGTGGCAGAACAGGGCACGCGGCGGCCCATCGGAAGATCGCGCTGCCGCCGTAGCGCACTGCCTGCTGTTATCGGCTTTTGCGCGCTTCTCTACCTGAACAACTCCTACAGGGAGCTGGGGCAAGAGCGAGAGATAGCGAGCGATCGTCCGCGGCCGTCTGTGCCCAAGCGGCCGGCCGCGAAGGCATGACTGTGCCTCATCGCGAAGCGCGCCACTTGCTATTGAGATCGGAAACACCTTCGCTTGCCATGGCCCGTCGCTCCCGCGACGATCTCTTACTTCTGGGGCTATCGCTGCTACGGCGCAGCAGAGTTGGACATGGTCTTCGCCTTATGCGAAGCTGCTGGTTGGGCCTCGCAGCCCTTTTCAAACTTGGTAGCGGAACTGGCCTATGGTGGTCAGCTCTTGCTCTACTTCTCACCATCCACGGCGCTATCTGGTGGACTACTGACATGGTGGAACATCAGGGAGCAGTGGGTTTGCGCGGAGGAATGTCTATAACTGCGCACAACCGGAAGCGCGCCTGCAGCGCTACCTCCGTTCTCGCGGAGGCTTCTTACATGCGTCCTACTTGCCTGCGCTACTACGCTCCTGAAGCCCACCCACCTGCTCAAATTGAAACCTTCTTTCGAAGACGCCCTGCGCGGCAACGCGCGACACGACGGTGCGCCGCCTCCAACCCCCGCGCTGGCGAACGACAACACGCCGCAAACCCCTGCCGCGAATGTCCGACCACGACCTGCGGGGCCACTGGATTGCTATTACCAGATTTGGCCTTCTGCGGGTCGCTGCCGGGCGCGCTGTGGGACGCATGCAGCGCAGTGGAGACGGCGCAGGAACAGCCGGCCCCCGCTGGGGCCCTGCCGGCCAGGTGCTTTTCCGCGAATTCGTTCGAGAGGTGCACGCCTGGATCAACGTGGCCACAGGCAACGTGATCCCTCCCAACAGGTCGCGGCACTACAGCGCGGTCTGGGAGGCCTCGCGCGGACCATAGCCATATGAGTACCCCCCTCAGTCATCAATTCTGGCGCTAATATTGGTGGCCGCCGCGCCGATGGCGC